TGATGAAATATGGAGGGGATAATAATCAATGTAATGAAACAAGCTATATGAATGGTTGAATGTGAAGCTGATGATGTGCCCTGTAAACTATCACTCAATGCAAAATAAAAACATTTAAATAAAAAAATTTAAAAAAAAAGAGAGACTTTAGAAACTTCTGGTTCCTCTTCCATCTGCTTTATCTGAGGGTATGTCCCACAGATCCATTCATAGCCTTTTTCTCTTCAATCCTTACACATTCTCATATATTTGGACTCCATGATTTCAACCTCAGCAGGAGTGATTCCCACATCTGTCCTGAGATCCCATTCTGAACTGGCAAGTACCTGATTCAAATTTCCTTTTGATTAGCACTGGTAGCATAGTGGTTACAAGTTGGGCTGCTAACCTCAAGGTTGCTTTGTTGTTGTTAAGTGCCTTCGAGTGGGTTCCAACTCATAGTGACCCTGTATAGGGTTTCTGAGGAGCGACTGGTGAGCTTGAGCTGTTGACCTTCTAGTTCAACCGATTCTGCAGTCCAGAGCATTAACCTAAAGTGCCACAGGAGGACTCCAACCTCAAGGTTAGCAGTTTGAAACTACCAGCTGTTTCATGGAAGAAAGATAAGGCTATCTGCTACCATTACGATTTACAGCCTCGGATACCCTATACAGGGTCACTATGAGTCGGAACTGACTCCATGGCACGTAACCAACCAATCAACCAAGCACAAGTATATTTCCAGTTCAACATATTTAATTATCCAAGTTCTGCTTTAAGCAAGCTGCAAATCTCACAAGCATTTTTAAAATCCTTTTTTTCTGGGGGGACTCTGGGAAGACAGTGGCATAAATAGACCCATCCCCACAAACTACAAGAAAAACAAGGAAATGGTGTTCTGGTCTTTGAGGGACTCTGAGTAAGGAACAGTGGAAAGCAGCAGGGAACTACAGAAAGACAAGAATCAACAAGTTAATGAAAATCACTTTCCCCACCATCCATGCCCCTCCCTCCATTCACACAGCAGCTTATAACTGTGAACTGGGGAAGTGGCTCTAGCAAAAGAGGCTGCTTCCCTAATCACCACACCCTTAGCTGAACAAAGAGACAGAGGACTTCAACCTCCTGCTCTGAAATCAATAAGGCCGACCCTCCACAGGGGTCTGTTTGGGGTGTGATATAGCACCTCCCAAGGAGTTGTGCTAGCTTAGTGGTTATGAGTCGGGCTACTAACCACAAGGTCATCAGTTTGAAACTACCAGTCGTTTCTGCTCCCCTAAAGATTTACAGCCTTGAAAACCTTATACAGGGGCGCTATGAGTCAGAACCAACACCACAGCACACCACCACCACCCTCATCTGGACACAAGGAGCTCTGGTAGTGTAGTGGTTATGAATCGGGCTGCAAACCTCAGGAACAGCAGTTCAAAATTACCAGCTGTTCCGCGGGAGAAAGATGAGGCTTTCTGTAAAGATTTATAGCCTCGGAAACTCTGTACAGGATCGCTATGAGTCGGAACCAACACTATGGCACATAACAACATCTGGACACTGTCAGCTATAAGGTATAGAAGATCCCTGCAGTGGAGTCTGTTCCCATAGTCAACACTCTACCAGCCTCCCTGCACACCCCAGAGCTCAGGCCTCTGAAACCAAAAGGACAGGCCTCCTTATGGATCAGTTTGATTCTGTCTGCTTCCCCTTCCAGGTGGTGCTGAGAACTGCAGACTGAGGCTTCTATCTTCTTCTAGGAAGCGGGCATATTGATATAGAGGCTACATCCACATTCAACATACTACCAAATCAACTCTGATATCAATCAGACAATCCTCTCTGGGAATCTGTTCAGAGTGTAACAACCCCTCCCCTACCTAGTAACTGTTGGCTGCTGGACTGATAAGAACTCATACAGAAGGTTCTCTACAGTGGAGCCAAAAGGTGGCTCTCCTACCTAAGTAGAGACTGCTTGCCCACCACAGAGTCTCTGGGGCTCTGAAACCAACAAATCTCTTGGAAGTCTTTCTGGAAAGTGGTAGCCCCTCCTTCTCCTGAAACAGAGGAAGTCTGCAAGTCTTCCCTTGAATGCCAGCTCATATGTAGTAACCCACACAGAACAGGGAAGGAAGCCTTGAGCAAAACCTGAGTGTAACAAGGGTAACACCCATGCCTGAAGGGACTTTGCTGGGTGTGGGATATCTGACTAAAATCAAGGTTGTAGAAACATAGGAGTAATAACCAGAAAGAGAGGTAAGAACACCCCCTGGTGGATACACTGATGAGTGCATGCTATCTCACCCTTGATGGTAAGATACACACTGAACCACAAGGTCCATTTGAACACAGGTTGTCAGTTCAAACCCACCAGCCACTCCTCAGAAACCATATACAGGGTCGCTAAGAGTCAAAACTGACTTGACAGCAGTTAACAACAACAACAATAACACAGGGGGACAGAGTGACCACCAGGATAGTTTCTGGTATGCTTAGGAGACAATAAACTTGAAAACTGATTTATCTGGAACTTTTGAATCTTAATTAAGCCAGGGAAGAGGAAGGAGCTATCAACAGAGATGAAAAGGAAATGGTAAGCAAAGGATGAAGGCTGTGCCTGCCTCAGAGATTTTTGCAGAAAGCAGTACAGGCAAAAACCAAATACTGGGGAGAAATGAGAAGTTAATACCCTAAAAAAACCTAATGTCCCAACAAAAATATAGGAAGACACGCAGAAAGGAAGAACAATGGCCCATTCAAAAAAACATAAGGGAGTGGAAGCACTTAGGGAAGACCAAATAATGGGGGAAATAGAGAATATAATATAACATTATACATAATTAAAGATTTAACAATAGACATATTGTGGGATTCCAGAAGGAGATAAAAAAGAAAGTGACATAACGAATATTTCAAGAAATAATGAACTGGCTTGCAGAATATACCATTAGAACATTTAAATGAATACATGTTTATTGTTTTGTATGTATATATCGAATATTTTTGCTTTGTTCATTTGTGAAATATTAGATGTAAAAAGAAAACCACAGTGAAGAAATAGGATAATTGCTGTTGCCGGGAGGGAATTGTAATCATTGAGATGAAACAAAGTGTATAATTTGCTGAATGTTAAGGCTGATGACCTTGAGTGTTCACAATTCACAATTAAAGAAAAAAAAAGAATGGATGTTGGATTTTGTCAAATGCCTTTTCTGCATCAATCTATATGATCATGTGGTTCTTTTACTTTTTTTAATTATATGGTGGATTATGTTGTTTTTCTAATGTATGTATCAAGAATTCCTGAGGAGAAACTTTGTAGAAAGGGGTCCATCCAAGCAAGAACATACAGAACTACTGCCCACTATCTCACCCAGATGTTGTTGTTGTTGTTGTGATGTGCCGTGGAGTCAGTTCCTACTCATAGCGACCCTACACAGGGCTTCCGAGGCTGTAAATCCCATTTACGGGAGCAGATCACCTCATCTTTCTCCCGCAGAACCGCTGGTAGTTTCGAACTGCTGACCTTGCGGTTCACAGCCCGATTCGTAACCACTACGCTACCAGAGCTCCTTATCTCACCCAGATAGAAGTACAGAAATAGTCTGTTGCCCCAGTGCCTGACACTTCATTCTTTTTCCCCCTTACAAAAGACTCACATTGTCATTGAGTTGATACCAACTCATGGAAACCTCTGGTGGTACAGAGTAGAACTGTTCCATAAGGTTTTCTTGGCTGTAATCTTTATGGAAGCTGATTGCCTGGCCTTTCTTCTTTGGCATCTCTGGGTAGACTGAAACCTGCCATTTTCAGTTCATTATTGTTAGGTACCATCTAGTCTGTTACAACTCATGATGACCCTATGCACAACAGAATGAAACGTTGCCCAGTCCTGTGCCATCCTCACAATTGTTATGTTTGAGACCATTGTTGCTGCCACTGCGTCAATCCCTAAGTGGAATCCGGATCCCCATCCAGAATCATCTGAGGTGGGAAATTTTCACTTGAAAGGACAAGCAGACCAGCCTGAAGCTGCTAGAAGAACAGCTTAAAAGACAGACCAGCAGGAAAAAAAAAAAAAATCAATTAACGGCAGTCTGATTGAACTACTACAAGAACAAGCAAGTTGTTCCCTGGGGAGCTATCAAAGCAAGCGGTCAGGTGCCCTCAGGGCAAACCCCCTTCCAAGACTGAGACTCAAGGGGAAAATACGTGCCTGCATGTGGTCTTGCTGGTGACCACATTTGGTCTACCAAGGGGAAGTGGGGGAAAAACAGCGATGAAGTTATGAGCTAAGTCCAACCACGTTCAATAAACTCCTGTCAACCTGGATTGAAACCTGGTTGTCCAGCAGTATGGCAAGACCTGGGGACTCCTGGGCCCAGGAACAGGGACATGGCCACAGAGGACTAGAATGGAGAGTGAAGCGTCCACCTGATATGAAGTGAGGGGAGATGCACAAGAGCACCCATACCTGCAAATACTACCCATTTGACCTGGCTTCAATGGCTGGATGACCAGAACTCAACAAGAGGAAGAAAGAAGAAAAAAAGAGTAATCTGACATAATTTGATGAACTTGACCTATACTTAATGGATATAGTAGCTCAAAAAAGAGAACGAATCATTACAGCGAGGATCAGTCCCACCCCCTCGGTACACAGGGTTGACAAGGATGGGCAATTTAGATACTGGCTACCCAAAATGAGGGCGCTACAAAGGCACAAAGTGACTGGCTTACAAGCTTTCAAGAGGGAGCCTAGTTTCCAAGGGTGCAGGGGAAGGTAGACTCTCCACTGAGTGGTTTCCAACCTGTCTGGACAGGGCTGGTAAAAGAAGATGGGGATAAGACTCTTGTGGTACAATAGTGAGTAATTGCTATCAGGACTGATTGTGAGTGTTGTAAATGTAAAGGTAGACGTTTTGTAACAAAAGGAGGGGAGTAGTTGATCTTGCAGTCCAGGAGTGGAGAACCCTGGGACCATCAAGGAAGAAGAGCAGAGTGTGGGACCCTATCCAGAGAAGCAGTGACACCAGAGATGGAGGCAGAGATGATGACGTTGAGAGATGGAGTGGCTGGGGACTCTGGACTCAGGGAGGGAGAGGGGCTGTGTGCTGACAGCTGGTGGGTGGGCTTGCGGGGTGTACCCTTTGGTTGTTTGAATGGTTATATATTCCTGAGGGCTTCAGTGTAAATACAAAAACAAAAAACAAAAAACCCGAGGGAATGGAAGCAAATGCTGTTGAATGATGATGCATAGAGGGGATTGTAATCATTACAATGAAATGAAATACTACAGGATGAATGTAAAGCTGATGTTCTCCCATGTAAACTATCACTTAATTCACAATAAAAACTTAAAAAAAATAAATAAACATACAATCCTTCAAATGCAGTCCTTCTGTAGTAAGATAATTCATATATATGAAAATAAATATTACTCCTGAATGCAAGTAAAAACCAAGAAAATTATGGTTACTAGATCATAGTTTTAAGGAGAAAAAGTAAGAAATTCCAAGAACTCAAATAGAAAAATGTATTCATTTTTTAACGTCTTTGGTCTAAATGATTTGTTGTTATTTTCCATATCAGCTATACAAAGGGGCTTCAAAAAGTCTGTGAAAAAATGGAAATAAAAGATAATGGAATTTTCCAGGAAGTTTTACCAGATCCCTCATATCCATTTTAATACAAATACAAGCAAACCATTTTATCACAACATTTAAGCTTTTAAAAAATCACAATACAGAATAGTACTCATAAGAGTAACTGTATTAATCCAAAACAGTATGAAAGCATGGAAGATAATCTTAACCTCCCTCCCTCCAATTCCAATGTATCTTCAAAAACATGGTCATTCTGCTTTTCACCATTTCCACTGTATTTGCCTTGGTTTAATGCAGGGGCTGTTGTTGTTGTTATGTGCTGTGGAGTCAGTTCTGACTCAGTGACCCTAAACAGGGTTTCCGAGGCTGTAAATCTTCACAGGAGCAGAAAGCCTCATCTTTCTCCAGCGGAACAGTTGGTAGTTTTGAACTGCTGACCTTAAGGTTCGAAGCCCAATCCGTAACCGCTACGCTACCAGAGCTCCTTAATGCAGGGGTGGGGAACCTTTTTTCTGTGAAAATTTGTATCAGCATTCGTGGGCCATACAAAATTATCAACTTAAAAATTAGTCTGCTATATTTGGTCAACCATTTAATTAACTCACCCCTATGAGATGGCTGGAAATGCAGTTACCTTGACAGAGCCAAGATTTTGTGGTTCTTATTATACGACCCATGGGCCAGACATTCCCCACCCCTGACTTAGTACAAACTCAAAAGAGTCTTGGTAGCACAATGGTTAAGTACGCCGTTGCCAACTGAAAGGTTCATGATTCAACTTCACCCAGTGGCTCCGTGGGGGAAACACCTGGCAATCTGTTTCCATACAGTTTATAGCCTAGCAAATGCTATGGGGCAGTTCTACTAGAGTTAAAATGGACTCAACGGCACCCAACCATAACAGTACAAATTGGTAGCCAATAGGTTGAATGCAGTTCAAAAAAATGTTTTGTTTGAAAACACATTCTTCTTTAATCTGAGTTGAAGGACAAAGACAATTCCAGAGGTCAGAGCTGCTGTGGGAGCAAAAGATCTCCATTTAGGCCAGGTAACTATAGTGATCCTTCCAGAATGTCCACACCTGCTGATGTTGAGTCAGTTACAACTCAGTGACCCCGTATAGGGTTTCTGGGGCTATAAATCTTTATGGGAGCAGAAAGTCTCATATTTCTCCTGCGGAGTGGTTAGTGGATTCAAACTGCTTACTTTGTGGTTAGCAGCACAACATGTAACTCACTATGCCCAACCCACTACGCTACCAGGGCTCCTGATAGGCTAGGGGAAAGGGGAGAAGGGGAGCCTACAGCAGGGACATCTCCTCCTGCTTATATCTCCTCTGACCAGAATCCTTTGTCCCCTTGAAGACTGCAGTATTCAGTGGCTCGCTTAACATTCCTATTAAAGAGAGCATAAGCAATATGTACCTGGTCTGGCATTTCTTAGATTTTTTGGAGATGCGCTTCTTCTTTGAAGGTCCACGCTTTTTGCGTCCTGCAGGAACTGAAAGGATAAATAGTTCACTTGTACTCTGAAAAGTGGTACCATTGAGCAATTGGTAGAGGGCACACCCAAAAACAACCACAACCAAGCCCAGAAAGCAGCATCTACAAACAAAAATTGTTTGTCTAAAGACTCCAGACTACTTCATTAGTCATTCTGAATGAATTTACCTCTGTAAATCTCGTAACTTCCAGCAGAGTAAGCTGGGTGGATTCTGTCATATATACTGAGGGTTATATTGAGGCTGGGAGTCCTAGGATAAGCACTGGACTGCAAACTGCAAGGTCATCAGTTCAAACCCACTAGCCACTCCTCAGAAGCCCCATAGAGGGCTGCTATTGAGTCCAAACCAACTGGATGGCACTTAACAATATGCTGAGTTTACATGAGTATGCCACTAAAGGATGGATTTCACGAACAGCTGAAGCGTTTGCAGTATAAGCAGCAGTGTGGCACAGGTCATTCACTTACTATGGGAACAGAAGTTGGTTTCCTAGGGCAGTACTTTCACCAAGACAGTACCTTCATACAAGCCAGATCTTTCTACCTTAGTCTATGACCCTTACTGCTGGGTGTTCTAGCCAGAGATTTATGGTTCATGTCATTCACCTGGGAAAGGTGAAAAGAGCTAAAAGTTCTTTCTGCAAGAGACTCACAGTCAATTAGGGGAGACAGATTCAAAGACATATTACAACAGTGTGACTAGTATTTTTTGTAGATATGCATTCTAAGAGCTTTGGAAGCCCAGAGGTAAGGAGTAATTCTAACTTACACAGAACAAGTGACAAATGGGCTGTGCACAATTGAAAAATGGGATCACCTCAGGACAAAAAAAATAAATAAAAGCAAGCATAATTCACAAAGACAATGTTCTACATTCTACTTTGGTGAGTAGTGACAAGTATCTTGAAAGTTCATAAGCAGCCATCTAAGGCTGTTATTATACTACTGCTTTCTCCCTGCCTAGAGGAAAGAACTATATGGTGCCTGGCAACCCACTACCAAATGTTCTGAAAAGGATCACATTAGGAGGTCCTAGATTTCATGGGAGAAAATGTGGAACAAAACTCAAAATAAGCAGGCTTATTGGGGGAACCCCAAGACTACCACCCTTGGTTATCATTCAGGTTTGGAAATGAGCGCACCCCTGTGGCTCAATTTTCAGCCAAGCAACAGATATGTATATAGCGGGGACAACAACACTAGTTGTCCATAGCACACCATAGAATGGTTAACCATTCGAGATCAAAAGGGTAGCATTTACCTAGGAGCAAAATTTAGAAAGGTGAGGGAGGAATGGAAACAATAAACCCAAGGAAGAAGTCGGTTCAGTGATATTACATTGAGGGGATTTGATCATTGAGATGAAAAAAGTCGATAGTTTGTTGAATGTAAAACTGATGATCTGTTCTGTAAACCTTCACTTAATTCTCAATAAAATGTTTTTGCTTTAAGACTAAGAAAGCACTCCAGGTTAAGGGAATTAGCAACTACTAAGATACAGAGAAAATGAGAAAGCATGGTATGTTCTGTTGTTGTTATTGTTATGTGCTGGCAAGTTGGTTCTGATTCATGGCGACTCTGTAAAGGGTTCCCTAGGAACAGCTGGTGGGTCGGGTCTGAACTGCAAACCCTGTAGTCCAATAAAACACAATCACCTCACTTTTAATGCTCCATACCAAATCAAGGAAAAGTGGTCCTATCAACCTTCCCTCAGTTAACTGCAAATATAAAATTGCTTCTCCTTCCTACTATAGTAAAATCTGTGAAAGCCGGAACCTGTGTAAAACAGAAAACTTGTCCGAGAAAGAGAACTTCCTTTCTCTCACCTCAATCCCACATAATCAAAAGGCCCTCTCAACTCAATCGCACATACCCAAAAGGATTTTGGACCCATCTTTAACTTTGGCTATGATATACCATCCCAGTGTTCATTAACCTATACTTTCTCTGGCTCTCAACTGGTATTTCATATATATTATTTCTGTCTTCCAAATTAGATTTAAAATTATCTGAATACAGGGAATTCAAGGACCTCCATTATGTGAGTCCTGGTGTGGTGCTGTGGGCCAACGCGTCAGACTGCAAAGTCGTTTGAACTGCAAGGTTGGTGGGTCAAGCTCACCAGCTGCTCCTTGGAAACCCTATACAGGGTTGCTATGGGTCAGAATCGACTTGACAGCACTTAACAACAATTAAGTTATACTGTGTGCAGTAAATTGATTTTTTGTTTTTTATAAATTCCTATTGTGAACTGAGTAAAGGTTAACAGACAAGACCATCAGTTTAAAATTCAACAAATCATACACTGTTTCATCTCAATGATTTCAATCCCCTCCATGCAACAGCAGTTATCCCACTTCCTCCCTGTGGTTATTTCCACTCCGCCCTCCATCCTATTCCTTCTCAACTTGGTCCTTAGGTAAATGTTGCCCTTTTGACCTTGAATGATTGACCATTCCACGGTGAGCATACCTTGCTAGTGTTGTTGTCCCCCTATATACCTATTTACCGCTTAGCTGAAAATCAGGACATGAGGGTGAGTTCCATTCCAGACCTGAAGGGTGGTTGAGGGCCATGGTCTCAGTTTCCTCCAGTCTCTTTCTGACCAGTAACATGGTTTTATATATATATATGTGCAAGTATACAAAATTTTGAGTTTTGCTCCCCATTTTCTCACTGTATCCAGAACCTTCTAATGTGATCCCTTTCAGAGCAGTTAGTAACAGTAGCTGGGCACCATCTAGTTCTAGTTTCAGAGTCGTGGAACAACATTCATATGTTCTATTAGTCCACTAGACTAATTGATTACAAGCATCTTCAATTCTCATCACTTTTTATTCTTCCACACATGGAGACACCAATAGTTGTAACCTTAGATGGCTGAACTGATTCTTACATTATTTACTGATTAACTTAGCCCTTTTTAAGGACCTCTGGTAGCTAGTGGTTATGAATCAGGCTGTGAACCGCAAGGTCAGCAACTCGAAACTACCAGCTGTTCTGCAGGAGAAAGGTGAGGCTTTCTGCTCCCATAAAGATTTACAGCCTCGGAAACCCTGTACAGGGTCTCTATGATTTGGAACCGACTACACGGCATATGACCACCACCACCACCATACTACTATTTTCTCTAGAATACAGAAAAAGTTCCTCCACCATGCCCTGAAAGATCCTTGTCACTGGGATGGCTGCCTACACCTTGGTCACTAAGAGGCTGCTGAAATTACACAGGGTTGGTAAACCTATGTAAGAGACAAATGCCTCTTGCAGAAAGAGCATACTAGGTAGTATAGGCACACCTGGCATACACGTTTCACTAGGAATATTTAGTAGGCTAGGTATAATTGGCTTACCAGGTGTCACAGAGATATGTTTGGTTTTATTTTTCCTTTTCTTTGGTTGTTCTACCACAGGTTTTGGTTCTTCATCAGTTGACAACTTTTCAGCTGCATTTGGTGGTTGGCAAAGATTTTCACCAGTATTTTGCTCACCATCATCATTGCGTTCAGAGATAGCCATTTCACTCAGCTGTTTTTCAATTAAGGCGCTTTCGCCCTCATCACATAAATTCCCTTCTTTTAGCACTGAGCCATCCAAACAATTGTCAGCATGCTTATCATCTATAAAGAGAAGTGGAAACTTCCTGGTAATAAGCTGTGCATCAGTATCAGATGATTTATCCAGACTCTCATCTAAAATTCAAGAGACATAATCACATATGTATATATATATACTCTTTTCCCACACTCCCTTATTCATTAAACTTCAGCAGAGATCACTGAGCACAAATTAAGTAAGTCTGGAACTATGACATTATGATCTTTTAGAACCAGTGTTATTTTAATTTGTTCCTTCTGTTTCTTATTTATTTTACTGAGAATGGCAACAGATAAAACAGTAACCAAAGTTCTAATGGTAATTTTCAAATCACATTCTCTAAGTAGCACTGTATAGTTGCTCAGTGGTTCCCAAACAGACATGTATATTTTTACTGGTCCACAGTAAAAGAAGAAATTAGAGCAATATAAGTAATGTGGATGTTTTTTCATCAAGTTAAATTTCTACAATTTAAAGAACTACCCTGTATTTTGAGATTGATTATGCCCTTGCTAAACTTTTTGTTTAGCAGCAGCAAGGGGTTCAAGTGTAGCAACAATTATAAGACTGGCACAGGACTGGGTAGTGTTTTGTTCTGCTGTGAAGAGATGGTCACTGTGTTGGTATCGACGTGATGGCACTTAACAACAAACTTTTAGTGCTCTTTATTTTACAAAATTATGGTTATAGTAAATAGTAGTTGGAAATTTTTTATTTCTTTCACTGAAAATTTTTAAATTGGCAACTCTGTGTTGGTCATCAAAATTTAATTTTTTAACATGTTCATAAACCCAAAGCTCTCAGAATCACTGAGCTAAGTCCTGAGAGTAGCATTCTCTAAGAGACCTTGGGACTATTAGGAACACCACTGCCCTTCACTGAGGGATTCTTTTTCTAGAAAATAAGGGGGTATCTACTACCAGATGCTTTCTGTAGTTTGTGCAGAGTTCAATTTCTAGTTTTCTAAGATTCTAAACGTAAAGATGTTAAAGCTTATTTATGGCACAAAAGTTCTTTATCCTAAAAATAGAGATTTGGGATAATTTTTTGAGTTAACTATAAAAATCTTTCAAATATTCAATAGGAGAAAGGAGTGGATGTCCCTATGGCAAAAATCATCCTTCCTAGAAAACTGAGACTTCCCACCTGCTGTTGAAATTTTCTTTTAAGTTGCAATTTATTTTTTAAATTGACAAAGATAAGAAGTGAGGTTGGAAGCATGTTTTAAAGCTCATCAAATCTTCTTTTCTATAAAATTGTCTAAATTCATTACATAACAAAAGAAATGATATATGGATAAGAGTAAAAAAATCTATTAAGACCCTCTCAACCCCCATTATTGGATGGATGCTCACAGCTAGAGTTCAAGGATCAGAAAGATAAGAGAAGCTGGATGAAAGTTCCTCAAAAGAACATACTCTGAAGAGGCAATAGCAGACCAATTATAAGACTGTAAGGGGAGCCTCAAGGCTATGCCAATAAAGTCTTTGAACACTTAAAAACAGAAACAAAAACGAAGAATATGCTCTGATCCAAGGAGTTAGCAACTTATGACCTTTGATTTCTGGTTGTCATTCATGCCCTGCTCTGGAGCTACCTCCCTTCTGGTTCCCCTTGTATTACCGTAACTTATTACACTCCTTACTCTGTCCTGCTCAGGCACATCCACCCACACAGCTAAGAAACTAGGGTTCCAAGCCACCTCTCTTGTCCCTGTTTTGATATCCCAGGTTTCTAGTAAACTCTGACCAATGGTAGCTCTTGGGTACTTAGCAAGCCTGTATTTTCAGGACATCCATTTTCAGTTTATTTCATTTCAGCAAACATTAACTAGGTGCCAATGTATCATGTCTTATACCTGGTACTGAACAAATAAAAATAAATAAAATACCCTAATGATTAAGAAGCTCCTTGTCTTCCTGTGTTTCATGCCAACTGAGCAGGTTTAGAACTATGGATAAAGCTCCTCTGGGCCTCCCAAAACATTAGAAAAGCCTCTGAATGCAAAGAGGCAAGGACCTGCTATGGGAAATAAGCTCTAAGATTGTATACAAACAGAAATCTCTAGGAAATGTACAGAGAGCAGAGAAAGGCATAGACAAACAGCTAGATGGAGAGAGCAGAATTTCCCTGACAAGTAAGTCACTGCCTGCTGACCCTTGACTATTACGCCCCCGAAATTTCCAACCAAGTTGGAAATAAGAGTAAGTCTATGTTCATTACTCTTTCTTCCTCTTTCTGCCTTCTCCTTTCACACCTTGAGAAGGAGAAAAAGGTGGAGCAGGTCACCCTTCATACTCCTTAGCCTCAGTTCTTGATTGTCTGCCCTTTGCTTCTTAAGAACCCTACCTAATGCAGATGCCAGAGGCATAAGGCAGCAAGAACAGTTACTGCTATATTAGGCAACTTACCAGGAAGTGTGGCAAAACCAGACATATCCACTTCTGAGCACATGAAGTAACATTCACTACTGAGTGATACAGGATAAAAAGCTTGACTTAGGCTGAAACTACTGTTTGTGATGTGATTTAAGACCTCAGTTACTTCTCTAAGAATTGGTAGTGTACTTGCCTTTGCTACTGCTTTCACACAGCTTAGTTTTCTTTTTGTCAGAGAAGCATTCAGAATCTGATTTTGATGCAATCACCATGCAGCTGAGAAATGAGATAGTGAAACTCAAATGAGACAGAGAAATATGGATGCAACATTCTTCTTTCTAAGGCAATTTCTACGTTTTTAACAATGACATGATCACTTTTTACAAAGGCAATTTTTGTTTCCTGCTGTCACTCTGTCCTCCATCTTTGGAACTACTGAATTTTACCATTATTACAGATTTTTCCATCATTTCCAATTTTATACTGAATCTTCCCATGACATTCTTTCATCCCTTGTGCTCTTTCAGAAGGAGGTGTCTGTCAAGTACTCAGAGTGAAATTGGCCAGTGTCACAGACTGTATATAATCCAAGATCTTAGGGGAAGTTCATTGTCATTTTTCTTTATCGTCTTAGAGATTCAGTTGTTTGAGAAGAAAGGTAGAGGCCCACAGTTGGAGAGAGACAGTCCTAGAGCAGGGGTGTTTCTCATCAGCACCATTCTTTGCAATTCAAAACTAGCACCACCATCTAACTGATAGACTACTCTCGCAGGAGACGATATCAGCTGTGACCATGCTACCTGTGGTACTGGTGATGAGCTCCTCATTCTATGCCAACCCTGGTACTTGGGTCAAAGATTCCAGCAGGGCTGGAATTCATCACTTCCTTGCATTTTCCAAATTGTGTACCAGAAGTACAGTAAACCTTTATCATAAGAGAAAAAATATATTTATAGGAGCAATACTGTCAAGTCTAGCTTTCAACCATGGATTATTTAATAGAATAATGAAAGCAAAACAGCGAAAGACAAAATGAATAAATGTGATCTTATAAAAATTCAAAACTTTTGCTCATCAAAAGACTTTACCAGATACCAGAGTAGAAGGATTCAAGCTGGCAAATTAGGCTGATACATTATCCAGACCATAAGTCTCTTATGTATAAGAGACTTGAGAAATCAAATGAAATAAATACAGATGACAATTCTGAAACCCAGAGTCAAAGGGAATGATAAAGAAGTAAATTAAATACCAAAGAGAGGAAGAGATTAGACAAAACAGTGAATAAGGAGTCATGAATTGCCAACCAGCACAGCGTGGCCATATTGAATTATTGCAAATAGCATTTCAATCAGATCAGGAAACAGATAACCAGCTCTACTTGCCCAGGAGGAATAACTTATGTGTGACTGGAATTCCAGAGCAGAAAGAGACAAAAAGAAGCACCAAGAAAACTGTTAAGGATTTTTTTTTTTAAAGAAAACTTTCCTAATATCAAGAAAGACAAACAGATGTGCAATCATGAAGCTCAGAAAGCTCCAAATAGGATACAACCCAAGAGAAAATAGAACATATCACAATCAAATGTTCTAAAACCATTGACAAAGAAAGAATCCTGAAAGCAGCTCAAGAGAAAACAAAAAGTTACCTATGAAAGAGAACCAATAAGAATAAAGATCTGAGTTTGAACTGTCAATTTTTCAGTTAATAGTCAACACCTAATCCACAGTGCCATCCAGACTCGTTTCTATTAAGATTGTAGTATAGAAAACCTGATGGCGCAGTTCTACTCTGTTATGTGGGGTCTCTATGAGATAAAATTGACTTGATGTCATCTAACAACAACATACCTGTGGATGGAATCCCATTTGGGTATAGGGTAGGGCGAGTCCTAAACCAATAGCTGCTGAGTTACGAGGAACAACAGAGACACAGAGACAAGAAAACACCAAAAAGGGAAGACAGATGCCACATAAGAATCACCAAGGCTACCCCAGAGGAGACAGAGAGAGAACCTTCCCTCAGAGCTGGTGCTCTGAACTCAGACTTCAAATCTTCTGAACTGTGAGAGCATAAAGGTCTGCTCTTTAAAGCCAAAAAAGAAAAAAGAATAAGCTCTGAGTTCTTAGCAAAAACCATGCAGGCAAGAAGACAATGAAATTATATATTCAAAACCAATGAAAGAAAAAACAAAACAAAACTGCCAACCCAATATCCTGCAATACTGTCTCTGAAATAGGATAGCAAAATTAAGACATTCCCAGATGAACAAATTAAGGGAATCTGTAAAAACCAGAACAACCTTATAAGAAATGCTAAAGAGAGTCCTTCAGACAAAGAACCAACAACAGGGGGTTGTTGTTGTTATGTGCCATGGAATCAGTTCCGACTCATAGTGACCCTGTACAGGGTTTCTGAGGCTGTAAGTCTTTACGGGAGCAGAAAGCCTCATGCGGAAAGGCTGGTAGTTTCAAACTGCTGACCTTGAGGTTAGTGGCCTGATTCATAACAACCGAAAATTAACCACACAGCATCATCCTGAAATTAACCCAGATAAAGAAATATCAAAAAGAAAATAAAAACAAGACTCGAAATAGGGAACCAGAGGTGTCAATTTGTAACTGATGACAATTCCAAATTTTTTAAACAATGATAATTTCAAAGCAAAAATGGAATAAATTATGTATTTATAAAATTTCCAGATGGAGAAGAGTCAGGATGAAATCAAAATAAAACAAAGGGCTGTTTTAAACTTGAGAAGATAATAATTACAGGGCAACCTCAAAAAAAATCATGATAAAGGGAGAAAAGATTGAAGTTGTCAAAGATTTCATTTTGCTTGGATCCACAGCATTCATGGAAGCAGCAGCCAAGAAATCAGACAACGATTGCAATAAGCAAATCTGTTGCAAAAGACCTCTTTAAAGAGACCTAAGCCATGGTATTTTCAATTGGCTCATATACATGTGAAAGTTGGACAATGAAAAGGAAGACCAAAGAAGAATCTATGCATTTGACTTACGGCATCAGAGAAGAATATTAAAAGTACCATGGAGTGACAGAAGAACAAACAAATCTACGTTAGCAGAAACACAGCCAGAATGCTCCTTAGATACCAGGATGGCAAGACTTCATCTTGTCATACTTCAGACATGTTATTTATCAGGAGGGAGAAGGACATCATGCTTGGTAAGACTGAGGGTCAGCAAAAAAGAGGAAGACCCCAACAAGACAGACTGACACACTAACAGCAGCAATGGGCTCAAATGTAACAACATTTATGAAGATGGCGCAGGACCAAGCACCTAACAACAACTCACCAAAATAAAAAGAAAATCATAAAGTCTTGGTAAACACTAAATAAACAGCAACAAAGGAAATGATAAGAAAATTTATCAACAAAAAAAACTCAGCACAGAAAAATATACCGAACAAATAATCAAAATGCAAACCCCAAAAAATACCACAGCATCCACAGACAAATGTAAAAACCTTCCCTAAAAGCCGAGACTGTAAATTCCAAAAAGGCAAGT